ATTTACAACCTACTGGAAATCATCAAAAACGTGTCATCAGAACAAATTTTTTATTCGTTTCCCGTCTAAATCCTTTACAAATCTCGCCATTTCGTTTTATTATTATTATTATTATTATTATTATTATTATTATTATTATTATTTATATCGCCGTCGTTATCATTATCATTATTGACTTCATGACGTTTTTTTTAACGCGTGTTCGTGACGTCATTTTCACGGAAATTGCTTACGAAAAAAAATAAAAAAAAAAACTAATCAAATTTAACGATGAATCCTACGTCAAATAAATAAATAACTAAAAATTATTTTTTAAATAAATACATAAATAATAATAATAATAATAATAATAATAATAATAATAATAATAAATAAAGTTAAAAACGCAAGACAATTATCGCGTTTGCGATTGTCGTTGTCGACGCGATTGTTACGCTGCATTTATTTTAATAACAATCAAGGACGAAACGAAAATTTTATAAAATGACAAAACATTTTAAACATTTTAGCTTTTTTTTTTTTTTTTTTTTTTTGGAGATTTTTTCACAGCACACGTGTCATATCACGGGGTCAAAATTTCCACAAATTAAATTTTCATTCTTTGGAAAAACTGGAGAAAAAATAATAATAATAATAATAATAATGATTACGCGTGCGAAAAAATCTTAATTAAAATGATGCAAAACAAAAAAAAAAATAAATCACATCGAATAGTTTTATTAAAATAAAATAAAAAATATTTGTTGTTATAATATAATGATAATAATAATAATAATAATAAATAATAAATATTACAAAAAGAAAATGGCGTCAGCTTGTAGAATGAAAAGAAGAAAAGATTTTAAAGAAAATAATATAAAAAACAATAATAATAATAATAAAGAATTCCCGTGGAAAATTTCACCTGAATAGGAAATCGTAAAAATTCTCGAAATACAATTTCTAAAAAATTCTAAGTAAAAAAAAAAGTGGGAAAAGAGGGACGGGGGAGGGAAGAGGGGGAGGAGAAGGATGCCCGGAAAAACTTCGAAAATAATAATAATACTAATATTTATACGAATTACGTAAAATAATAATTTACGCCAACGTCACATCGTAACAACACATGTTTTTCGTTATGCCACTTTTCTTTATTAACCCCCCCCCCCGCCATTTTCACATACCAACAATTCGAGAAGGGTAGGGTAAGGGAGGGTGGAGGAGAAGGGGATGAAAAGAAAAAATCTCCCTTAAATCATCATAATCATCATTCGATTTAATTGAATTTAATGAATGTCGAACTGTTAGAGAACCGAGGAAGCGTGTTCAATATCCCAATTATTAACCTTAAAATTTTTTGTTTTCCCGTCAAAATTTAATTGAATTTTGTACGACAACAAAAACAACAACAACAACAACCGCGATACTTAAATTAATTACAAAATAAACTTTTCACTCCCGGTTTTCAAAATTACTTTTCCTTTTTTTTTTTGGTCGATTCGTACAAAAGTTACCATTTCGATTACTAATAATAATAATAATGAAAACGTTTATTTATTAATATTTACCTTACGGTAATAATTTACTAATTTATCAAATAAACCTTTTCGTTTTCGACAAAAAAAAAAAAAAAAAAATTTCGAAACAAACGCGTGAAAGAGAGAGAGAGAGAGAGAGAGAGAGAGAGAGAGAGAGAGAGAGAGAGAGAGAGAGAGAGAGAGAGAGAGAGAGAGAGAGAGAGAGAGAGAGAGAGAGAGAAAGAGAGAGAGAGAGAGAGAGAGAGAGAGAGAGAGAGAGAGAGAGAGATGAACAACAAACAACACGTCAACAATTTAAAAGTCCACCGTTTAAGTGTATGTTGTTGTACAAACGCAAAACTCACGGATAACTGATTTCTAACGACCACGATGACGATGATGATGATGATGATGATAATGATAATGATAATAAGCCAACCTCGTCAAGCGTGTTTGAAGAAAGTAAGCGGTTATTAAGTGAAAAAAAATTTTTTTTTATTACGAAACAGGAATAAAAATTAAAATTTTTAGCGCTTTCGTTTAAAACATAAAAAACAGGTATGAGAGAGAGAGAGAGAGAGAGAGAGAGAGATGGCGGCGGCATACCCCGACCTTCAAAACAAGTAAAAACCGACTGGCCTTAAACTCAATAATATTCACTTTTGCTTTTTTTTTTTTTTTTTTTTTTTTTTTTTTTAATCATTTCGTTAATATGTTTTTTTCCGTTGCCAAAACTCCTTTCTTAAAAAAAAAAATAATTTATTATTATTATTATTAATAAAAAAAAAAATTGCTAATGATAATGATGATGATGATGATGATTAAATATTGGAAAATTTAACAAAAGACCCATACGAAATTTGTCTATAATATTAATAATAATAATAATAATTCCGATGATATTCATTTCAAAACTAACATATTACAATATTTCGAATCGAATGAAAGAGAATTTTTTTTTTTTTTTTTTTTCAATAGAATGACGTTGCCCAACATCATTTCACAATTCGATACTCTAATAAAATGTCGGACGGGAAAAAAAAAAAAAGAAAGAATGATTTCGTAGACACAAAGAAAACGAAAAGAGAGAGAGAGAAAGAGAGAGAGAGAGAGAAAGAATGGAAGTAAAAAAAAAATTGTTCAAAATGAATTTAAATTTACCCCGATTATTACTACTACATAAAAACAAATTTACGAGTTCGTTAATTTTATTATTAATAATAATAATAATAATAATAATAATAATAATAATAATAATAATAATAATAATAATAATAATAATAATAATAATAATTACGTATTCGATAAAGAAATGAAATGTATATTAAATAGTCGACTCTAACGTTTAAAAAATAATTAAATTTCTTTTTTTTTCGACGTGGCAGAAAAAAATCAAGGTACACGTTCGTTGCCGCGAGGGAAATAAATTGGACAACGAATTTTTCAACCCGTTGTAAAATTACCGGTAATAGAATTTAATATGTACGCGAATTTACCCGAAAGACATCTTAAGTATTATTATTATTATTATTTCGTTAATAAGCTTTAATTTTTTCCCCCCCAAAAAAAAACCGTTTAACGAGAGAGAGAGAGAGAGAGAAAAATTCATATGTCTCCTGCTTTCGATTTCCCTTCGTTAAAAATTTTGCTATATGATATAAATACCCTAAAATTTCACCCCGAATTTTCTTTCTTTTTTTTTTTTTGCAATTCTATCCATCATTGCGCAAATAATAATAATAATAATAATAATAATAATAATAATAATAATAATAATAATAATGATAATAATTTACAAACAAACGTATTGGAAAACGTGTGACCGTGGTCAAGAGTTATTTATACCAACTTCACGGTTGGACCAAGATTTATTTCAGGGACGCCAACCAATTTTTTTTTTTTCTTTTCGCGGTTAATTATTTTAAAAAATTCGTTCTCGATATAAATGATGATAATAATAATAATATTATTAATAAACAGTTGGTTGGAAAATTTTCGTACTATTTGCCTTTCGTAAAAAAATTAACTTGTCGACTTGTTGCTTTTTCCAACCAGTCAACCAACAAACGCAGCATATACGATAATAACATTTATAACTCCGTAAGTAATTTTATCCCTTCGTATCGCATGGATTTTAATTAATGCCTCATAATGAGAGAGAGAGAGAGAGAGGGGGGGAAAAGTCGGAAAAGTTATAACATTTAATGCCTTTCATTCGACCTCAAAATGTTTATTTATTATCACGTGGAATTTTTTTTTCCTACGAAATGATGATAACAACAACAACGTTTCCAGTAAGATGGTACGAAATATAAACATTTTGGCAAAGGTTTATAAAATGCACATTATCGCGTTTGAATTTTAATAAACGATTAAAAATAAGTAAATAATTTAAAGTCAAAAGCAAAACGGATGTTTAATTTTAACTTCTCCTGCAACAAAACGTCAAGTGGAATTCGTAAAACAAACAAACAAACAAACGAACAAAAAAAAGGAAAGGAAAAGAACAACACGGATATTTAACAATTTAATTACATAGTGCGAAACGTTTTTTTTTTTCTCCTTCTCCTTCTCGTTTTTTTTTTTTTTCTCCAGGGTCGAACGCGAAAATCTTAACACGCGCGTATAAAAAATTATTATTTTTCTTGTTTGTTTGTTTGTTTGTTTTTTCTTTCTCCTTTTCCTCTTACGAACGTTATTAAAACGGTTCGAAAATACGGAAAACGACAATCGAAATTTTTTTGATTACGAAATCCCTTCGACGATTTACAATAATAATAATAATTCTAACACGAAAATATCGGTGTAAAAGTCACGAAACAAAATTACCGTAAAATTTTACGTTCGAGTTGTAACAACAACAACAACAACAAACGCATTACAAACCGTTCTATTTCGTTCGTGTAAAAATTTGTTTAAATCAAAACAAGTTCAATACGATAAAATAAAGTCAATAAATAAATTTTCTCGTCGTCGTCGTCGTCGCGAAACGTCATCATTATCATTATCACCGTACAACAAACAAACAAACAACTTTGCAAAATAATAATAATAATAAACACGTACGTAAATAAAATAAAAATTTTAATTTAAAATGAAAAGTAAAAGTTGCATCGTAAACAACAAGAAATCAACAAGATTTCGATTGGTTAACGATTGAAATTTTTTTTCTCTTTTTTGACTCGCTTGTACAAACCGCATTCGAACAAACACTTTAAACAATTTTTTTTACGGTCAAAAACCATCCACGCGTTTGTTTCGTGTGCGTGAACGAGCTTCAATTTAAATCTTAAAAAAGAAAAAAAGGACAAAAAAAAAATTCTTTTAGGACATTCATGACAATTAACAAAAAAAAAAAATTAAACAAAATTAAATACAGGCGTTCGCCCGCGTGCGGTTGTTAGGCAAACAATAAACAATTCCTCGCATAATATAAAAAAGAGACATTTCTACAACAAACAAACAAACAACAAAAATTAATAGCGGTAGTAAAAAAAAAAAAAAAAATTCTTTTTTTTTTTTTTTTTAAATAATCCGCGTCTGGAAAATAAATCTTCCGACAATTTTTTTTCTTACGAATGAAGAATGGACGAGGAAAAAAAACTAAGTGGGGAGGTGTGAAAAAAAAAGAGAAAGAGAAAGGAAAGGAAAAAAAAATAAAATGGGGGACCGCAAACGATTCTTAAAAAAAAATTAACTGGGTTACTAGGTTAAATTATTAGAAATAGGCGAGATTAATTTTTAATTATTCTCTCTCTCTCTCACACACACACAACAACAACAACAACAACAACAGGTTCTTTTTTTTTTTTTTGATTCCAATGCAAAATTTTAATAGTTTTCATGTTTTTTTTTGTTTGTTTGGTGATTACACAATCAATCGTTGACATTGTCGATTATGTTATCCATTTTTTTTTTACTAATAAGGTACGTAAGCAACAAACG